TGTGTGTGTGTGTGTGTGTGTGTGTGTGTGTGTGTGTGTGTGTGTGTCTTTTCTAAGGGTGACAAAGTCAGACTCCCACAAGGAAAAGTGAAGTTAGGTTTTGTATGTGGGTGAGTGTTACCCTCTGTGATCATTGTATTAAACTGAAATCTTGAAGACATGTAAAGGCCAACAGCTCTGCGTCGGGAATAAAGATCTCAACCAAGATACCCAGTCCAGGGCCCTGGCCATGCTAGCACAGTGCTCTACCACTGAGCTGCATCCTGGCCCTTCTTTTTTAGCTCAGCTTAATCTTGAGTTCATTGCACAGCCCAGACTGCCCTTAAACTTGAGGTCCTCCTGCTTCCGTCTCCTGGTCGTAAGTGCCTGTCACAGAACCAAGAAGAGTTTTTTGGCTTGGCTTGGCGTGGCGTGGCCTGGTTTTACAGTTATTTGTTATGCAGTATGCGGGTGGTCCGCCTGCACATATGTGTAGCACATGTGTGTATGGAGCTCCTGCAGGCCAGAGAGCTGACTCTGCTCCCGGGGGGGGGGGGGGGGGGGGGCGGGGGGGCAACCCCGGGGGGGGGGGGGGGGGGGGGGGGGGCGGGGCAGAGTTACATCACAGATGGTTGTAGGCCATCAGAGCAGATGCTGGGAACCAGACCAGTGTCCTCTGACAGAGTAACAAGTGCAAAAAGAGCTCTGCATCTGCTTTTACCCTGTGGGGCATCAGCCTCTCTGAAACTCTGTGAGAACTGCACGCTTCTTCCAACTCAAATGTTCCAGTTTTCCCCCATGCCCTCGCTCACAAGAAAAGAGGTGCGAACAACCTCCTCTCATTCTCTCTTCTCTGTGGGTTTCAAAATCTCACTGTAGCATGTTTTCATATTTTCAATGAGAAGCAGGGTGGCCCTTTGACTTACTGCACATGCGTGCCAATGGCTGTCAGTAAGAGGAGAGTGGTTAATAATTTTTAAAGATTTTTTTTAACTGTAAGGAAATGTGGCCACCTCCCTCCCCTCCCCCTCCACGCACACACACAGCAAACTGCTGGCACTTCTGAGAATAAACTCCGGAGTAACCTGGCCCATGATACGGACCACAGCTTCACACCCGACCCACTCTTCTACCTTCTACTTCTCATGACAGTAATTAATACATGCTTGCACTAAGTCTAACAGTTATGAAGATGGGAACAACACCCAGGTGGTCATAAGCCTGCATTTAGTTTTTTTAATTGCTCTGTTCAGCCTGTGTAGCGATATAAAGCAATCTGCTGTAGACGCCCTCTTTCTTTCATTACGCATAAGGTCAGTTGAGATAATGGACATCTGAGGGACCTGAAAAGAAGATGCCGAGCGCATCATCCCTTCATCTCTCGGGAGCATTCTTGACAGAGGACAGTTCCAGCATCGCCGGAATCCAGACCCAGCTGATTGGAGTGGCCCCTCTGAAAGCAATCTGACCCTCTCCAAAACATGTACATTATTCAGGATACCAGCCCCTGCCTGTCTCCTTCCCTACCGCAGTAAAGGACCCAAACATTCTGTCAGTCGTGTTCCGTCTGGGAGACAGGGAGGCCCACGGGAACTTTCTAGTATTAGTAATGAGATGAGATTTCCTGGGTTCAACTGAACTGAGTCCCCCAATGAGTCGCACTGCATCTTATCCACAAGCAGCTGTGCATGTGACCTTATTTGGAAGTATGTTGTTGACAGATGTAACTAAGTTAAGATGACGTCATATTGGACTTGGAGTCACCTTAATCCAATAATGATTGGTGTCCTTATAAGAAGAGGAGTAAAAAAGACACAAGTTCCCTCCTGACTTCTGCCTGTGAACAATTAGCTGTTGATGTACCTGTGGCCTCTGTGTGGCCTGCCACCACTCACTCATCCTCATGTGGAGATTTATGCCAGGTGTACAGCCTTCACGCTCAGCCACAGGATGATGGAAGTGTCTCCACGCCAAGGATAGCCCACATCCAAAGAAAAGAGAAAGGCAGAAGGTCTTCCCAGAGTCTTTGGAGAAAGGGCAGCCCCAGGGCAGCTGCTCAGATGTCAAACTTGTAGCTTCCAAGGCAGAGAGAGTAATTCCTGCTGTGTTTAGCCTCACAGGTCACGGCCAAGGTTCTCTCTTCTTCTTACCTCTGTTTATTAAGCATATCTTTTAAAGTGTAACTAGAACTTTCTATAACTGCTTGTCCTGTGGGATTGTGTGATATACTTGTAATAAACTTTATGTTGTATATGCAAAAAATGTTTCATTGTACTAGGAGTATATGATAGAAAATTGTCGGTCTTAACTTGTACAGGTATCTCCTTAATAGCCATAACTTCTAATAAATGTGTAATTATAAAATTTAAAAAATCGAGAAGTATTTATAAAGATCAAAACCGTCACCTTGAAAACGTTAAAGTATGAATAAGAAATATTCAGATTTAACATGGTTTTTAGACACTTGACTGCATCTAAAGCAAAAAATAGGATTTTTATACCATAACCAAGTACGCAGAAGTGGTTAGTGAATACTAATTGCCTTTATGCTGCATCAGGTCCTTTTAACAGTGGCTATTCTACTTTTTCTTTAGTCTCTTCGGTTCTTCCCTACTCTCTGTTGCTTTCATAGGTTAAAAAAAAAAGATAGAGAAGGAAAGACACAAACCAGCTGATTACAACCAGCCAAACGGGTTCCGTGATTGACTGCTAGGACAATCCAGCCTTTAAAAGGGGGTGAAATTATCGGCATCTGAAGTGTTGACCCCGATCCATCCACCCTTTCTCTGTGAGTGAGCCCATAGAAACTGCAGCGCTCCGGCATGGCTGAAGCAGCCCATGGCAACCAGAAGAGCCAACTGACTGTCCTATCCCATCCATTTCACTCTTTTCTGGCCATATTGTAGCTCCGACGGAGACGTTTCCCAGCTCCCTTCGCAGTGCGATGGCTCTATGGAGTCCCACCAATGAGATGTCAGTAGAAATGAGAGTGAATCCTATACCACATACTTAAAAGAACTTTTCTTCCTGTGGACTCCTATTCTTTTCTAGAACAGAAACCAGAGTACCAACAGCCTGACTTTAATCAGACAGAGGGTAGTGGCCTAGAGCAAGGTCATCATGCTATGGAATTAATCTGGCCCACCACTTGTTTCTATAAATAAAGTTTTATCAGCACACAACCAGTACACTGACTTACACATACATCATCATCATCATCATCATCATCATCATCATCATCATCATCATCATCATCGGTTATTCTGTGTCCCCTGGATAAGTATCTGCTTCTCTCCGACCTATAGCAGGCAGAGCCACCCCGCTAATGTGGGGTCTTGGAGGTCCTACGGTGACCTCCTGGAGGGGAGATCTCTACCTTTTCTAGACTATGCTGTGAGAGTTAGACAAATTTGTCTAGCTTGAGCAAAAGTATTTTAAAAACGTCTTTGTGTCAACAGCTGGGTCTTTTCTGTAATCTTTCCTTGTCCTGGTGGGTCCTCCTGGGCAGGAGCATCTGTGTCCTCTCAATGATGCCAGTGCAGCATTGGGCCAACAGTACTGAGCCATCTATCTATGGGTATCTAAATCACTACCATTCACCAAATACTCTTTTCTGCAAGATGGACCTTACAGTAGTCCCCAGAGCTTTGAGATGCTAAGACCCAGGAGTAACCGCTGGCCCAGGAGTCAACAGCTGCAGACAAGGGCCAGGGAGCTTGATCAGTAGGTGAAGCACTTGACGAGCAAGCATGAGAACCTGAGCTCAGGTGCCCAGGACCCACGGACAGCCACACTCAGCACTTCCCAAGGAGAGAGAGCTGCACACAGAAGAATGCTCAGATGTTCCCAGGCAGGCTAGCCTAGCATACAGAATGGAAAACTAGTGAACCTCTCTCAAACAAGGCAGAAGACCAGCACTTGACCTAATTAGTGTGCACACATATGCACGCACATTCATGGGCACACATGAGCACGTGCAAGTGTGCACGCACACACACACACACACACACACACACAGAATGTGTTTATTCTTCTCTCATACATTATGCCCCAACTACACTTTTCCTCCCTCCGCTCTTTCCAGTCCCCCCTCCACCTTCACTCCTTCTCCATTTTTTTAAGACCACAAATCACCACCCAGAATTTTGTTGTGGCTTCTATCGACCCATGTGCTATTCCCCTTCCTGCTGAAGAATGGCCTCCAACTCACTGGTGAGGCTCTTCCAGACTTTGGCAAAGTTCAGCTCTTTTGTCACACATCCGAATCTGGCCCTGGTGGACTGCCTGTCTTCCCTTTTGGGTGTTCAAACTCGATCACCCATGCACTGTGGAATTTCTTCTAGTTGCCCACAGAGTTCTATCTTGAGCAAAATGTTGTGGTCTGAACTTGGCCGTGGCCTATGAACGGAAACCTCACAGACATCCAAGCAACTACAGACCCCGTCGGTACACCTCACGCTGAACTGTGATTTTTCTCTGGTCCTTCCCCTCCCGTCTCAGACACTGATTGGAAAGTTAACGAGACTGCACAGAAAACAAGACAGAGAGCACTTTAGGCCAGACATAAAAAGGATGGAGAGCCTCAAATGTGTCCAGATTCCTGAGATTCGTGCCCAACATTCCCAGCGCAGGAACACACATATGGCTTAGGGACCCAGAGGTTACAACCATATATTCTTCTAAGGAAAATTAAGTACTTCGTGACTTACAGCGTTTGACACTGATTGGTATCGGTCGTAGCTAATGAGGACAATATTGTAGACAGATGCTGTACACAAGAGATAGTCAGTAACGAGCCAAAATGTGCAGACTGCACTTCCAAAACTCCAGTTAAACGTTTGAGGGATGTACAGAGGAATGGCGATCATACCTGCACAGAAAGGAGAGGAATTAAACAGCAATACTGGACCAGCAATAAAGATGGCTCGGCAACTAAAGATGCCTGCCACCGAATCTGACCCATCCTCAAAACCACATGACACAAGGAAAGACCTAACCACTGCAAGTTCTGCTCTAAACTGCACATGCATAGCAGAGCGTGCTGTGATACACACACACACACACACACACACACACACACACACACACACACACACGCACACACACACATACCACTAAATAAATATATAATGAATTCTTTAAGCTGTTTGAAAACAGCACATATCACTGACTGCAAAAGGCAGGGCAGTATATTCTACTGGGTATGCCACAGAATGACACATCTAAATTCACTGAAAACAGCTTAGTTGTTGCTACAGCCTGGATAGCTGTCCTGCTTATGTAAAGGCTTGGTCATCAGCGTGGTAGAACTGGTAGACACTGTGGATTTTTAGGGGAAGGAGCCAGGTGTAACAACGATGTGAAGCAAGTTTCCCATTCCTGGTTCTAAACATGAGCACTCACTTACACACGGGCTTCCGGCCGTTGCCACCTGCTAGCATCAGGAGGCAAGGCGACAGGCCACCCAGTCTTGGATTTGAACCACCCATCAGCGATCTAAACTTTCTCTTAAATTCGTGGCCTCAGACAGTTTGCTGTAGTAACGCCATGCCAAAGAAGTTAGATATAACAATTGTTGGCGTTTTGGCAAACTCTGCAGGACCAATACCCCCTATCCATTCTTTACGTGTTACTTTTAGAATAGTTATCATGAACAACATAGCTACGAGGGCTCTTTATTGCTTCCCAAATGAAGAGAGAATCCTCACCTTATTTTCATCATAATTCATCTGTACGCTCTTTGTTATCCAAATTCCACAGCTCTCCCCTGACGTCCACCACCCTTTCTCTATGCCAACACTGTTCTTCCTAGAATGTCTCCCTCCCTCACGTTTTCATGCTGGGAATCAGATGAAGGGCCTCACACTAGGCACGCTGCCCCCTCTCCTCGCCTTCTTTCTCTATAAAGCCGCATTCACTTCTGCCACGACCTGCAGGTCAAAACATCCAGCTCCTCCATGCCCTCTTTCTTAGAAGCTCTTTGGCTGAGGTGATCCCTTCGTCGCTTACACTCACTCAGCATTTTAGAGGGTTTTTTGTGCCTATTGATTGTACCCAGTGAAGGCTTTCATTAATGACATCATCATGAATGAAGAGGGTGTGGTTTTATGGTGTCATCGTCCTCATCTTGTCCTTCCTTTACTCCCGGGGGGCCTCCCTTTTCCCACAGTGCCTTATCTATCTCTCTACTGGGAGCAGTCTCCCCAGTAGCTGAGATTACAGGTCTACGTCACCAAGCCTGACTTCCATTCCCATGTGTCGTTCAAATAACCTGCTGGTTTTGCGTTTCAGTTATGGCGTGGGGTTGGTTTATTGAGACAGGGTCTCACTATCTAGCCCAGGCTGCCCTCAAATTCACTGGGTAGCTTGGGCTGTCCTTGAACCCGTGGTCCTCCTGCCTTGGCTTTTCTGCCAGGCTGGGGCTGAAATTACAGGCATATGCTACCAGCTATGCTTTCAACGGTCAGTAAGCTTTCCTGGAGTGACCGTCATCTCATCAGTTAGGGTGGGGTGGGGGTTGCAGTTGATAATTTGCCATAGGTAAACCAAAGTACCTCAAGCTTCACCATTCATATATTGGTCCATCACTGTGGCTTTCAATGCTCCCAACATGCGTATTTTCCACCTCTGCCCTCATTTCTTCCACAGAAAGAGAAGTGGGTGATAACTAGACACGACTGACTTAAAGATTAAAGAGATCTGAGTTAAACTTTCTTTTCCACACTCTTTCTGAATTCTATGAAAGAAGAAGGATGTGTTAAGGTTTCTAGAAACTGCTTTAAATAATAGCTGGCTTAGCACGCACTGTTCTTTTTGTGTGTGTGTGTGTGTGTGTGTGTGTGTGTGTGTGTGTGTGTGCGTGTGTGTGTGTTTGTACGTACGTGCATGGGTCCACAGGCCAGAAGACAACATCGGGAGTCACGTTCTCCTCAAGAGCCATCTACTTTGCTTTTGAAGACAGTGTGTCTCCCTGAAGCTGGAGCTCCCTGATTTGGGTAGGCAGGCATGCCTGCCAACCCCAGCCTATCTCCTGTACCTACTTCCCCAGTGTTGGGATGACAAGGGCATGTCACTGTGCCCAACTTCATAGGTGGCTGCTGCCAGGTCCTCATGCTTGTGGGGCAAGGCCCAAAGATAGAGTCATCACACAAAACCCCATTCTTTTGGTTTCAGTAAAGCCTCGCTGTCCCCATGGTGTTCTGGTATAGATGGCCTGTTCTAGGTTCCTCTCTCTATGGAATAATGGTGATGCCGGTGGCTCATTCCAAACAATTTCAGAAAAGCAAATCTTAAACAGTTCTCAGACAGACCTGCTTCCACGTGCTTTTGCCAAGTCTACTCTGAAAATTTGCTTGGAGATAATTTTGTTAAGTGAAAACAAGAGCCTTTTCCGTGGCTAGAACAATAAACCTTTGGCGTGTGTGATCAAAAAGATCTGAGAGAAATGAAATAAGCTATAGTAAAAGAAGGTGGTAAAGGGTGGGGGGGCAGAAGGGAAGCGGGAATAAGAATGAGGACAAGGGCGAAGGTCCTGTGAGATGTGCAGATGTGAGACGGCCTTCCCCGTGTCAGCTGCCTCTTACCTGCTGGGCCTTCAGCCCGCTCGTATGCACTGCATATCCGCCTGCCTCATGTCCTTGGAACTGCATTTTTTCTTAACATATTCTTTCCCCAGAGTTCTCCTTCTGTTTGTGCAGGTGTGTTTTTCTCAGTGATCCCTAACTCTCAAGTTATAATTTATAGTGAAATCTCCTATTTCTCTGTCTCTCTTCCTCTGTCTCTCTCTCTCTCCTCCCCATCTTCCTTTCTCTCCTCCACCTTCCTCCCACCCTCTCGTTTTCCCACCCTCATCCTGTTATATTTTTCTGAACAGCAATTATCACCTCTAAAACATTACATACTTTTACTTACTGATATTGTATAGTATTCATGTCTCCCCAGCCCCATGCCTGATACAAACAGAAAGCACCAAGAGGGCAAGAATTTCTGCCATCTTTTCACTTGCTTTAAAGCCTGTAATTGTTACATGAATGAACTGAGGACAGTGGGGAAGCCCAGTTTGCCTTAAAATTGACACCAGTCTGATATTGTCAAACCAGCTAAAAAGCTGCTATCTCCTCCTTAAGCAAACAGCAAGCAAAAGATAAGAGGGACTAATATCCTTGATGAATCCTGTGGCTTCATCTCCCAATAGAGAGATGCAGGGATGATAGAGAGCTTGCAGAGATGCCGTGGACCAGGAGCTCATTACTCTCCCCATTTACACACAGAAGCCTTCACACTCTCAGAGCAGCTCTGTTTAGAGAGGTGGCCTCTAAAGGAAAAACAAGAGTAAATGATGCTGTCAGGGTACGGCTCTCCACGTGAGAGTACCAGAGAAAACGCCACCAGGAAGCAAGAGACTTCGCTAAGAACCAAATTTGCTAGAATCTTGGCCTAAAACACCTCAGTTTTCAGAAGTGTAAAAACGCAAATTCCTACTGTTTAAGCTCCCCAGCCTGGGGTATCTTGTTATATTAGCCTGAGCAGATGTATACAGAGGCCAAGAAAGAAATCCTGAGCTGAACTAGTATATGAAGGCATTTTTAAAACAGGGAACTAGAGAGATGGCTCAGCAGTTAAGAGCACTGGATGCTCTCTTCCAGAGGACCTGGAATTTCCAGCACCAACATGGTGGCTGGCTCACGGCCATCTATAATGGGATCTGATGCCCTTTTCTGTCATGCAGGCATTCATGCAAATAGAACACTCATATACATATAGATTAAATAAATCTAAAAAGAATCTTTTTATTTTTATTTTAAAAAGTTATTTAAAAAAAAAAAACAAAAATTCCCCATCCTACAAAATTGTTTTAGGCTTTGTTGGCATCAATCACATTTTGCCTCTGAAGAGACTGTCCTGACCATCCAGCATATGGCAGATTAGGGACTAAATGCCCATAGATGGCAACACTAGCCACACACTACCAATTTAATAGACATCTCCATCCATATTTATAGCCACAGTGTATTAGTTACTCTTCTAAATATTGTGATCAAATACTAGACAAGAATCTACTTCATGGTGGCTGGGTTAATTTTGCCTTATAGACTGAAGGGGTACAGAGGTCACCCCTTTAGGCAAAGGGGACTGGTGGACAGCTGGAAATCAGAGGGTCATAGAGAGTGAGACTGGGCCATCACACTTCCTGCATCTTCCTGAAGGTTCTGCCACTTTCCCAAACAGCGCCACCAGCCAAGGAGGAAGTGTTCAGACAAGAGGCTCTGAGAGACAGTTCACCTTCAAACCACAACTAATCGTGTTCAGAGGAGAGAACATACGATGAGACACACTTATTTCCCTCATCTACAGGGCACCCAGTACAGAAGGCACACAGTGTGTCTTCTGAGTCTTGGCTTCTCACTAACAAATTCAGCATAGAAAAGTAGCTACAAGGTCTCCTTCCCGAAACCTGCAAGCAGAGCGCACAGAGCAAGGAGGGGCCACAGTCCCAAATGCATCTGAGGACCTAATCTGTTCTCACAGTATAGAGCTCACTCCAACCACAAAGAATGGCTGGCTCAAAGATTTAGGTGGGGGAGGGCGGGGGAGGGCTGTGAGATGGCTCAGCAGGCGAAGGTGCCGGCCACTAAGCCTGGACTCACACGGCAGATAGACTACTATTTTCCTTTTCCTTTTCCTTTTCCTCTGACTACTATTTGCTTGCCATGGCCCAGCATCCACCCACACACTAAATAAGTACATGCAAAATAAAAGTGGTGGCAGTGATGATAAAGACAATAGAAATAATAAGAAATGGCTGGCTTACAGCCACAGAAAACCTCTCCTGTGTGCATCGCTCCAGGCTCAGAGCCAAAGCGCACACTTGAGAGGATAGCACTCTGGCAGGAAACTCAGATCTTACTGCGCAAAGCTCCCGGGACTGTCCTGTCCCGTGGTGGGAGCTGTGCTAAAGAAGACCTCCAGAAACCATCAGAGCAGAGGAAATGTGAGGGGCAAGACAGGACAGATAAAATGGGGATCTCGAGCTCAGCTGGCTAAGCACTGATCTTGCGAGCAGACAGTCTATCCTAATGAGTAACTTGCCACTGAGAAGCTTGCCTCAGAGGGGGACCCGAGTCCTGAGGATGACACCTGAGGGTGTCTTCTGGCTCTCACATGCACATCCATTTTGTGCAGGTAAACACACACACACACACACACACACAATTGTTTTGTTTGGGTTTTTGGGGTTTTTTTTTCTTTTATTATTAATTTGTTTTTTTATTAATTACAATTTATTCACTTTGTATCCTTGCTGTGTCCCCCTTCCTCCCTTGTCCCCTCTGGATCCAGCCATCCCTCCCTCATCTCCTCCTATGCCCCTCCTCCAGTCCACTGATAGGGGAGGTCCTCCTTCCCTTCCATCTGACCCTAGCCTATCAGGTCTCATCAGGACTGGCTGCATTGTCTTCCTCTGTGGCCTGGTAAGGCTGTTCCTCACTCTTGTTTTGTTTTGCTTTATTCTGTTTTGTTTTGTTTTGTTTTGTTTTGTTCTGTTCTGTTTTGTTTGAGACAGGGTCTCGCTATGTAACCCTGGCTGGCCTTGATCTCAGAAATCTACTTCCCAGGAGTTAGGATTATAGGCATGGGCCACCATATCCAACATGCAAGCAACACATTTTGAAAAGATAAAGGAAAGCTCTGTTTGACCTGCTCATGACTTCTCTCAGCAGAAACAGAGCTGCTCTCTGCCTGTCCCTAAACTGGTGGAGGGTGCAGAGTCTACCAGATAGCTGCATCTACAGAGCCCTTTCTCAGAGACAGGCAGCGTCTCCCAGCCACGGTGCTCAAGCCCCAAAAGGATGCATCTCCTCCACGCCTGTCTCAGGCTCAACACAAGACACTCTTCCTGGTCATACCAACTCCCCCTTCTTTCGTATGATTCCCTGCACTCTGCCGAAGGTTTAGCTATGAGTCTCAGCATCTGCTTTGATACACTGCTAGGTGGAGTCTTTCAGAGGCCCTCTGTGGTAGGCTCCTGTCCTGTTACTTTTTTTTTTTCTCCTACTTCCAAAATCTATCCCATTTGTCTTTCTAAGTGAGAGCTGATCATCTTATCCTGAGTTCTCTTTCTTGTTTATCTTCTTTAGGTGTACAGATTTCAGTATGTTTATCCTATCTTATAGGTCTAAGTACGCACTTATAAGTGAGTATATGCCGTGTGTGTCTTTCTCCTTCTGGAGTACCTCACTCAGAATGATCCCACCATTTGCCTGTAAATTTCATGATTTCCTTGTTTTTAATTGCTGAGTACCACAAGGACCAAATATATCTGGACACAGGGGTCTTTTGTGAGACTATATCCCAATCAAGGACCATGTATGGATATAACCTAGAACCCCATGTAGTCCATGGTAGCTCAGTATCCAAGTGAGTACCCTAGTAAGGGGAACAGGGACTATTTCTGACATGAACTCAATGGCTGGCTCTTTGATCTCCCCACCCCCACCCGAGGGAGGAGCAGCCCTGCTAGACCACAGAGGAGGACTTTGCAGCCAGGCCAGAAGGTACCTGATAAGCTAGGATCAGATGAAAGGGGAGGAGGTCCTTCCCTATCAGTGGACTTGGAAAGGGGTAGAGAGAAGATGAGGGAGGGAGGTGGGAATGGAAGGGAATGAGAGAGCAGGATACAGCATTAATAAACTGTAACTAATACTAAAAAAATAAAAATTTAAAAAAGAAAAGAAAAGAAAAAGACAGTCATATCTGAAACTGTCTTGGTTCGAAAGTTTCCAGTCCAAGGCTCTCTCAGCTTCTTACTTCACCCCTCCCTGCTGCCAGGGTCATCAGGGCCAAATTCTCGGTTTTGTTTTTGTTTTTGATTTTTTAAGATTTGTTTATTTATTATGTATAGTGTTCTGCCTGCATGTACCTCTGCAGGAGGGCACCAGATCTCACTATAGATGCTTGTGAGCCCCCATGTAGTTGCTGGGAGTTGAACTCAGGACCTTCAGGAAGAGCAGTCAGTGCTTTTAACCTCTGAGCCATCTCTCCAGCACCTCGGGCCAAACTCTCACTGGGCCAAAGTGCACCCTCTCTTTTAGGTGGTAAGTGTTATCCAAAGGCTGTAAAATTCCGTGAAGGAAGAAGAGAGAGATCTGTGGTTTCATAGCAGACCACCTTCTGTGCTTAAACACACTTGTAAATTTACACATGTAGTGTGAGCATACAGAACATGTGAAAGCATCTGTGCTTCTAGGCAAAAGTTAGCTGGAGCAATGACATTGAAGAGAGAGGTGGGAAGATGGTTGATTTAAAGCGTACACACACACACACACAGGGCCAACGTAATTCCTACTAACCATGAGGCTCCTGAGTTCAATTTCTTCTACCGTCAATTAAAAGAAAATGCCAAATTGATTCTTTCCCCTTCTCTGTGGCCTGTCTGCTTCTCCGCTTGGTGAACTCCGCTCCGTACTATCTAATGGTCTTCACTGTATGGAGTGAGCTTCAGCCCTCACTTCCTCCACCGAACCACCTGTACGGCACCCAGCCCACAGCGCACACTCGGGGAAATACGCACAGCAGGTTGTTACCTGTGCCATTGCCGTCTTGCGTTCTCTCCCTGCCTCTCTATCTCTAGAAATCCTATCTGTCCCCTGCACTCGGGAACCATGAGTGACTCATCTGTCCACAGCACACAGTGCATCGCCACGGGGCCTCCCGGTAGGCCACACTGCAACAGTTCTGTTACCTTATCTTTCAGTCTATGCCACTGAAGGAGGACTCTATGATTACACAACCCTGTGGGTATCAAGCCCAACTCTGTGCATGACATGAACACTGGTGCACTCAGTTTGAGTCAAAACATCTGTCAAGAAATGAAAAGCGAAAGGGACTAACATTTGTTGAGCAATCACTGCGCTTTGGGCAATAAACAACATGTGCTCTAAGTTTCGTTGTATTTGAACATAAACACGAGCTTTATGTAGCTATGAAGAAAAGCAGTGTGGCTCTACAAAGAGGAGGTCTCCTCAGAGCTCCTGGGAGATGCAGCAGTCCTCTGGAAAGCTGTAGTTACCCTATGCTGAGCACCAGGAAGAAGGGAGAGCAGAAGGCCTCGTCAGCCCAGCAGGCAGAGCACAGGGCTCACAGAAACGGCTAACAATAAGCAAGCGAAAATGATTTTTTTTAAGTTTTTGGAGAAAGAGGAATCTGATTTCTGTGAACTCCTGCAATCGCATGGTGCTGGCTGTATACGATTCTGAGCTGTACAGTACACTGACCACGCTGCTCCATTGCCCATACCACTTCCTGGTCACGCTGGCTTCCAGCAGACACATGATTTCTATTGCTTCAATACTGGATACAAAGGAAACCATACTTACTAAAGAAAAAAAAAAAAACTTGTAAATCTAAACAAATTAGAAATGGCTCTGAAAACAGTCCAATTGACATTAAAATAATTTTAGAACTATTCTGTACTCATTTAGTCTAAAAAAAAAAAAAACCTATTTTCAGATTTCAATTCCTGTATTTGCATAGAATTTCCTTTAAAGTGGCATAGGCACTTCTCCCAGAATTCTAACACTTTAACTTTTCCTTCATAGCCCCTCCAATTCATATAGTCCCTCAAGTTGTAAAGATTTGAGGTTTTAGAAATAAATGATAGTTTGAAATAAATACATATAACTTACCCACGAAGAAGTCAGAAATAGCCAAATTAAGAAAAAAATAATTACTTCGATGTCTAAGATTTCTGTCCACCATGAAGGCTAAAATGACCACAGCATTGCCTAGCATTATAGCAAAGGCAAAGAGGGACATTAAAAATGCCAAGGGCACCTGAGCAGCCAGCGTCAGGCTGCCCGTACTGTTAGCATCCAGCGTCATGTCAAATGGCGGCCAGTACAGAAGCCCCACCTGGCCAGGCAGTTCTAAGAAGTCTGCATGCAAGCCTCCATAGACACAGTCTCCTACTCAAACCAACATCTTCAAATCTCCTGGTGATTTCACACCACTTCCTTGTTATTGATAACCATCAACTTGTGGTAGCAATTTCCCTTCAACTGACACTGAAATTGTGTTTCCACAAAACAAAGAAATAGTTTGTCTTAAGCAATGCAATGGATTCATCCATTGCATTGAAATAAGAGATCCAGCTAAAACTTCTCTTCTGGCCATGAAAACATACTGGGGTTAAATTTCATGCTGTCTCTAAAACAACCCTTAAGAGACAGTTCTTCCTGAGAAATAGGCACTAAGGAGATGCTTGCAGGAGTGAAAGAAGGGAAATAAAGGCAAAAACGTAACAAACCCTAGGGGCAGAAGGGATAGAGTTGAGAGTTGGCAAGACCAGAGCTGCATGTAGACTCAAGAAAAGCCCTACAGAAGAACCCCAAGGATGTGCAGAGGATCCTCCTTCTCAAGTATTCACCTGAGTATTGATCAGGAGGGCATAGAGGAAACTTTCATAGGCAGCAAAAACAAGTATCTGATGGCAGGGCGTGGCACCCAGTGCTTTCGTAAGGCAGTTATTGTATCTGCTCTCCTTGGCCAGATGAAAATGTTCATCATGGCTGAGGCACTGTGTAGAACACTCAGAAAGGTCTAATTAGCCCTAACTAAGTGTTTCTTGGTTTCTGACCAACAACTCCTAAGATCAAAACCTATGAGAATTAAATTGTTTTCAGATCAGTTTAGTGCAATGCTGAATGCAGTTACAGATTGTATGGAGGTGGTTCATGCATGCTATCTCAGTACTAAGGGGGCTGAGGCAGGAGGGTTGATGGGAGAAGACCGTAAGGCCAGATTAGGCTACATGCTGAGTTCCAGGCTAACTGGTACCACAAGTAACAAGGTATCTAAAAAATAGGAGAAACAAGTATTTATAGACCATAAAATAATCCAAACCAAAGAGGTAAAACTCACAAGTAATATCAGGCATTTCAAGAAACAAGCTAAAAACTGCTTAATGAAGAAACAAATCTGTCCACCAAAACAAACCTAACATTGCACAGTTATTAGACTAAAGAGACAAGGACACCAAAATACTTACTATAGCTGTGTGCTATGCTTAAAGAAACTATGTAAAACCATAAAAATAATTTTAAAGGCTCAAAACCAAGAGAAGAGAAAACTAGTAGCACCAACTAGAGACAGAAGCTCACCATAAGCCACCCATATCTCACCAGATATATCCATCTCTTTGTGGAATGATGGACGTCATGAAATGCATTCGCTCATTTTAGATCATGCAATTTTAACTTTTCCACACACAGGCATTCTTTTCCCTGGCCTCCACCAATAAAGTTGACCCTTTCTCCTTTCACGGTCCCCCCATAAGTTCTGTATCATGTCATAAAAGGCATGTATGTGTATGTCTTCTATACAGTCAAACCCTGTCCATTAAGCAAGAAGGACTGTCAATCACATAAAAGAATGAAATAAAAAAGAAACTAGTACACAACATCAACAGTGGGCTAGTCCAATAAATTTTAGTGTTCTATTTGAGATAAGGGAGCCTAGAGAGAATCTGGAGCTAGGCTGGGAACTCACTTTCTAAAGGAAAAGGTTGTTTGTAGGGGAGAAAGTACTCAAGGATTTCTGGTGCAGGTGGGAATAGTCCATGGAATCTTCCTCCAGGTGGAAGGTAACACAGATCCAAAAAGATAAATACTGCATGTTTTTCCTTAAACGTAAATCTTAGCTTTAGATTAGTGTGCTGAAATAAAAATAAGCACATATGTTAGGCGCCTAGTAAGGGATCAGGAGTAAAGAAAGCACCTCTCAAGGAAGAAGAAATAGAACATAATATTTTGGAGAGATAAAGGAAAACTGGAATAGGAGCATTAAATAAGGAGTGAGATGAAGGTCGGGGTAAAGGGAAATACGGGGAGGGACAACTGACAGTAAAGGCCTTTTGTAAAACAACATGGAAGCCTACTACTGCAGGAGCTTCCTAAAATATACACACACAAATAAAAGGATTCAAAATGGAGTCATCATATAATGGGAGAAGTATACCAACTAGGCATCTTTTGCCACCATTAAAACCTCCATTGCCAGGAATGGATCACATTTTACTGAGCAGTGGCCAGAGGGGTCTCATGGAGTCCCAGACACCACAGGCTACTGCCAAGACTATTGTTTATTCTCCACAACCCGATGGCCAAAGATGACACATATGTCATCAGACCCTCCTGACCAACATTTAGGATACTGGAAGGCACTCTGCATGCTGCCAGAGGGGAAGAGTAATCATCAGGATCTCTCAGCTTCAAGTTCTGTGGCCTACAACGATGACCTGCCTGCCAGATATATGGAGGCAATAGTGGCACAAATGTCCTGGGGGTAACCAACACTTTTTAGTTGTTAACGCCCACCCCATAAGAGGAAACCCATATATTTATTACACTGCTGAAACGGCAAAAAAAAAAAAAAGAAAAGAAAAAACTCTGACCAGATAGATCATGGGCCTAAGGAAGAGCTAACTATTATTTTGGCAAAGGAACATAGCCATAAAATGACTCCTCGTGACATACTGTTGTACCTTCTAGATCAGCCCCTCACTCAACCAGAAAAGCTCCTCCTTGAAGTAGATAGGAATTAACACAGAGACCCCACACAGGACATTGTGTAGAGAGTGAGAGACTTTGGAGCACTTGGTTCAAAACGTGATATTTTTATCAACGCTCTCGCCTCCAGATTCAGGAATTCATGCGGAAGAGGAGGCAAAAAGATTGTAAGAGCCACAGGTTATAGATAAACCTAAGAAACAGTGTCTCTCAGACACAGCGGAACTGATACCCATGTGAGCTCATAGAGACAGTAACAGCATTTACAAGACCTGAACAAGTTGAAACCAGACAAAAATCCCAGCGCTTAGGCAGAGAAGTAGAAACAAAACTCCATCTGTAACCAGAAAACTGTTTGTAAATGACCTGCTGGAAAAAGGAAAATCGGTTTTCTGGAGTGGCGTGTCACTGAGGACATTAACCACCATCCAGGGCAGGCTCCAGGTCCGGGAAAAGTTGGCCAACGTGGAAAAAAAAAGTCCATTCTCAATCTCTCTCGCTCTCTCTCTCTCTCTCGCTCTGTGTGTGTGTGGGGGGGGGGGAATGCTGGGGAAAGGGACTATCCACAGAAAGGATCATCCTATCTACTTGATTACTGAGCTCCTCAGCTGAAGTCATCTTTTAATGAGCACTTACATGGAACATAAGTATTGTTCACATCCTTTGCCCATTTGGAGATGCCTCTCCACACACTTCTTCCCCAGATGTCTTTCTCACCAATTTTCCAGTCATGCTCTTCTCACGGCCCTGATCAACTAGCCAATTCATTGGCTACAGCCCATAAATCAGTGAACAATCACACATCTGACCATTTCTCCTTCCAAACAAACTGTACTACCGTGTGTACTGTCCAAAATTGTGCCCGCTATAAAGATTTCCCTTTGCCAATGTCTTTCAAGGTTGTCCCAAAAAGGGATTGTAATGCTGCAGCTGTCCACTTTTGGGTGCTGCCTGCAGAACTTGCAAAACCATCAGTAAACCAGGCCCTAGTCCTCTCATTGCTCAGTCAGCTGATCTAAGGGACATCCCCCAAGGCCACAGGTACATGGTTGGCAGCAGACATAATCGTAACAGGAGGAGAAACCACAGGCACTTGGCAACCTCTTCATGGAATTTTTGCTTATACCTTCAATACCTGCTTGGGCCCAATCGTGTATACACCGCTTCCATTTGATAACAGATTGTTGCTGTGCACATCTGGCTTTCTGACTTGCTGGACTCAGTAATGCCCAGTTCACGATAGGCAGCTCAGATCACACGGTAATTTGGTGGCCCACTGTCACATGTTCGGTTTCCACTAATGCGCAGTAGCAGGCAAAGAGCTGTCTTTCAAAGGGAGGATACTTAACTGTGGATAATGGTAGAGCCTTGCTGCAAAATCCTAAGGGTCTCTTCTGTGATTCACCTACAGGGGGCTGCCAAAGGCTCCAGACAGCTTCCCTCTCTGCCACTGACACTCCAAGTACCATTGGGTCAGCTGGATCATACAGTAAAAGTGGTAGAGCAGCCTGCACACAGCAGCCTGGACCTGCTGAAGATCCTTCCCCTACTCCAGGCCCTGCACAAAGCTTACCAAGTCACTTGGTGTGGGCCAGAGTAACACACCCAAGCGAGGAATGTGCTGACTCCAGAATCCAAATAGACCCACTAAAGGTTGTGCTTCTTGCTTGCTGGTCTAAGGGGTCAGATGCAGTAACTTGTCTTTCACCAGAGAAGGAATATCTCTGCATGACCCACACCACTGAACTAAGAGTTTCGCTGAGGTAGAAGGTCCTTGAATTTTGGTTGGATTTATTTCCTGTTCTCAGATAGGCAAGTGTTCCAATGAGTTCTAAGTGGTTGTTACCTCCTTCTCAGTCCAATCGGCATAATGTCATCAATATAGTGCACCAATGTGATATTCTGTGGAAGAGAGAGAGGATTAAGATCCCTTCTCAGTTATGACACATGGCAGGAGAACTAGTGTACCTTTGAGGTAAAACTGTAAAGACATACTGCCGGCCTCACCAACTGAAAGCAAATTGCTTCAGGCGGTCCCTGCCGACAGGTACTGAGGAAAAGGCATTTGCTGTATCGATAGCTGCAGATCATGTCCCAGGAAATGTGTTCATTTGCTCAAGTCAAGACACTACATCTGGTTCAGCAGCTGCAACTGGAGTCACTACCTGACTGAGCTGTCATTCTCCAGGCTCCATCTGTCTTCTGTGCTGCCCAGATAGAAGAGTTAAAAGGGAATGTGGTGGGATCTGACAACCCTGAATATTCAAGCCCGTGGTGACAGCAATTTCTGTGACTCCAGAAAATCGCATTCCAGAA